AATTAGAACCATGCTGTAATACAATGACACACACTGGTCTGTTCTTTGTAAGATAAGAAATAAAATTAGCTGTTTAAAGCTTTGCACCCCCATTTCCCTTTTCAATAGCATTAACCAGCATTTTGGATTCGTTATCAAATCTTCAGTCACTGCAAAATATGGTGTCTGTCTTCCCCACTTAGTGTCTACCACCTCCCATTGCTAGACCCAGCAATTGAGATTAATTTAATTAAGTTCAGTTTTTCCTGTCATTTTCTTGAGCAATGGATCTTGAGCAATCATTTTCTATGTATTTTACAAAACTAGAGAAGTGGGGGAGGGTTACCTTTCATGGATGCCACCACTCTAGGAAATGGTCCGTTTCTCTAACTTGTCCCTCTTCTCTAGCAAATGCGGTGGCTAATCTTTTTTCCTTATCTGTGTGATTTAAGGGACTTGAAGCAGATGGGCGTGGGTCTTCCTGGCCACCAGAAGCGAATTCTGTGCAGCATCCAGGGATTCAAAGAGTGAAACATGCCACCGTACGGTGCCAAGCAAGAGTTGCTGCCATCTCCTTTTGCCGAATATTTTTTTTAAAAAAGTGACCCTGTGGCAGACCTCCTGCAAATCAGAAGCCAGAGGCAAACAGCTGCACCTTGGAACATAATGCACAGGCTGTGGCTGAGTAGCCTAGAACAGGAAAGGACTTCCTGCACAGGAAACCAAAGTGTTGCTGTTGACTTCTCACTCCTCCACTCTCGCAGAGGCTTCTGACTTGACATGCTTTATAGTTACTGAGGACGTAACATGCCATTGTAAAGAAACACTGAAGTTAAAACCATACCTACCTGGAAAGGACCTTTTCTGTTGCAAAATCTAAGCCTCCAGATATTTGTGGCCAGATATATATTACAGTATTGTTTGCAGAGAGCATGAACGCCTGTCCTTGTAAATTAGTGGGTTAGTTTTCATCGTTCTATCCAAGTTCATGTTCCTTTGTATATAAGGCCTCTCTCTCTCTCTCTCTCTCTGCAATCTACTCCTTAAGAGCAGAAAAGGCTTGTTTAAAGCAAACTAGCACTTGCTCTTGGGAGGTTTTTTTTTTCCTCAAGTTGAGGACCTGCTTATATATTTAAAATATCAGGAAGGGATGGCATAAGGGAGAAAACCCAAACCTGGATTGATCATATGTTGTAGATATGATTTTGTAAATAAACTCATAACACAGATCAGATATTAAAAATTTTTCCCATGACCATTTCTATTTTTAAAAGTTGGCTATTAAAAACATCACAGAAGGGAAAAGTAGATTTGTGCACACATTAGAAAGAAGGAAATACTTAAAAACTTAAGAAATGTTTTGTAAATGTTTATGTAGTGTATAGCGGCATTAGAGAGATCTGGAAGAATAGGAATACCTAATGAATATTGGGAGTCACATAAAGGGATTACTTGGAACCATAAATACAAGACAGGAAGATTCTATGTAGCTTACATGCACATGGAAATCCTAAACAACAGCACAGCTAGCAGGTGGAGAACATTTGAAGGATACATCTTTTGGCAGGAAATGAAAATCAACCAAGATATGAAGCAGAAGTAAAATGATGAGATCTTGCTGCATTTACTTAAGGAGCCTTCTGTGACTGCCTTGATATTTAGGGAAGTGTTGTCCTATTGCTTCCTTCAGTTTTCATTGTAATCACTGCTGCTCTTTAGTGTAAAATCAAATTCAGTATGAGCTCAAACTGTGAACCCTTTACTGTACCTTTGATTTGACCTCTTAGCTGAGGGGTTCCCAACCTTTTGAGGTCAAATGACACTTTGTGTATATACTATGAATGTTCAGTGAAGAAGGCTGATATTGGGAAGATGTGTTCATGCATCCTTTAGTGGGAATAGCTAGTCTCAAAACTTTGCCCTTATAAGAAGCTAAACTAATGAGATGGTGCTCATATCACCCTTTACAACTCTCCAAGGTAGCAATTATCCACCCAAGTTTACTATTGTGTTTTTCTGGTGAGATGCAAATTTTATAAAGCAAGTTCTGTAGCATAGGCACTTGACATTTTAATTTTCCAAGTAAGTTTCTGTAGAACCCAAGATGGTCTTGAAAGCTGATGATTTGCTTTGTAACATACCAGCATTTTTATTGTTTAAGTTCAAAACCATGGAGATATCCATACTTGCACTTGTGAGTAGCACAGTGAAGATTCTGATATTTGCTTCTATACCAGGGTGCAGCAAGGCCTTTTCCACCTATTTTATCAAAAGAAAGCCCAAGCATGAAGCATTGAAACAATGGCCCTAGACAAGTTTCTACACCAAAGTCCTAGTGAAAGAAGAGTTGTTGGAGAAAAACCATCTGATATGGATGCCATTTACACGCAGGACACCAGCAACTCTACAAGGCGTTTTAGTAACATCAAGTGCTTTAATGCAGCCTTCTTCTTTGAGAATTTCTCAATACTTTTTTTAAAAAAATATTGTAAATCTAAATGGGTTGTGCCAGTTAAAATATGTCACATGTCAGATCAAAATGCAAGGAATGAGTTTTAAGAACATTGGAGGCTGGGGAGAAAATATACAGAAGCAAATGGACATGAAAACACTTCTGTTGATGCATTGCTGTAATTTCCATTTCAGAAGATCACATTCTGTACTTACTGTAAAAGTGGCTCTTTTACATAAGAAAAAAAGACTTCCACTTTTTTCAACAGAGGTCTTAGGAAGATTATGTAAGCATGAGATGTAGGCAAGAACATTTGCCAAAATAAATGTCCTTGCCTACATTTGTACGAAACGAATTTGTACAGAATCCAGCTTTAACCTAAGGCACACCAATTATGCTTACTGGTACATTTGGCAGCTTCTCATTTGGTTGCAAACTACTACAGAACTGTCTGTTTGTCCACCTTTGTTGAAAAACTATTAGGGTACACTGACCAACAATTTCATTTTTTCAACAAAATTGGTTGTGTGAATGACGCACCAGAGCAATGTTCAATAAGCTAAGCCAGAGGCTCCTAATTATTTTTCACACAGGCTGCTGTACAATTAAAAGATTTTTGAGACTACAAGCCAAGGCAAAGTAGCAACACACCTGTCAGTCCCACGGTACACATAAACCTCCTCCTTAAATGGTTATCTGCAGAAATCTAAAATAATATTTTATATTTTGGGAAATTGCTAAGATTTAGGCCACTAAAAAAACAAGCAAATTTCAAGGTAATTATAACATCATGGCTAGCCTTTTAATTAACATGTTTATATGAAACTGATTTACAAAGAAATGGAAACAATCTAGCCCATACTATGTTTTGGCCTGATATGGATTAAGCATTTTACTATTCGTCAACAAAGGTTTTACAGTAAGAAAAAATGACATTTGTAAGAGGTTTTTTTAATTAATTCCATTCACACTGCTTGCATATTTAAGCATGTTTTTTTCCTGCACAGCTTTTCCAAGCCTGAGGCTCCAGAGGAAAAAAAAAATGTCATTCATAAATATGGAATCCCAATGGTTTTTATTTGAAATCCCTCCTATATTTTCCCATCACAAATTTCTGAGGATGCCTTGTGATTAGAAATGTGATCTGAAGAATGCTTCCAGAACAGCACCCAAAACTAAATGCTACAACAGCAGCAGCAATTCCTTGTTTCTGTTTGTGCCTCCACCAACCTTGCTATCTTCCCAAACTGTAGTATGAAATTGAAAGACCAAATTCGTTGGTGGTACATTTATGACTTCATGTATCATTTTTGTGGCTGTCCAGTCTGCAGATTAAGCAGAACATACCATCCAAAGAGAAGTGCATTGTCGAAGGTTCCTTCTCACAGAAAAGCTGGAAAGGTTCAAGAATGCTATACCTTGCACCCCTGTTTTAATTGAATAAAGAAGTGAAGTTAGAGAGTGAATGCACAGGCCCTTCTGTCTGCAAAGTCAAACTAAAAGATGAAGCCTACTTTCTTTCTTCTACATGAGACGTCTTCAGTCCTGATCCGTGGACCGGTACCATGGCATGCCAGCAACCAGGACCTGCAAACAAGTGAAGCTCCATTTGTGGTATGCAGGCAGCATGCAAAACCACGTCTCCTCTGGTCTGTGGAAAAACCTTTCTCAACGGAACCGGACCCTGGTGCCCAAAAAAGTTGGGGGCCACTGTTCTACTTGATCTTTAAGGCAGAAGAGAAGTAGTTTGGAAGAAAATATGATTTCTGGTATTGTAACACAAGAACTCTGGCTGACTTTGGGCCAGTTGCTCGCTCTCAGCCCCAATCACCTCACAGGGATGTTGTAAGGAAAATAGGAGGAAGAAGGAACATTAGGTATATTTGCCGTCTTGAGCTGTTTATAAAAATAATAAAGGTGGAATGTAAATAAATAAATAAATGATTGGAATGACAACAGGAGAAAAAAAACTGCACAACTTTATTGATGCAAAACAATGGCTGAGGAAGGATAACTCCCGATTACACCACTATGCCAGCTTCACAATAAACTCCAAAAAGCCCATTGTAAACAAATAAGTAGCCCTTTGAATAGTGTGCAGTGCAGAAGTGATTAGACCAAAGTATCACACGTTCACACATACAAAAAAGAGGAACCACCTTGATTTGGGAAACACATGGAGAAAACTGGTCCATTAACTTAGGAACAAAAAGTTCTCCTGCTGATACAAGCATCCAGTACAGAAAACAAGCCAGCTGTGAAATGTATATTCTGTCTCTAAAATAAGATATAAAATAGTAATTTACATTCCACATTTGAACAGAGGACAGGGCAAAGCTCCACAAAGAAAAAGCAGGTTGGAAGAATCCAGCCTTTTGTTCCAGGACTACTTTATTACTCAGTAAGACCAAAGGCTTATAGCAAGATAAGATTCCAAGACAGAAAGTGAGGATTTAAGACCTTGTATTGTAAGGGATACATATATTTTTTTTAAAAAAAGAAGAAGTGGAGGAGCCCTTAGTGAAAAGAGAAGGATATTGCCAGACAGGCAAAATGTGTTCATGATCCTAAGAAGGAGTCATAAGAAAAAGCATACAAAAGATCAGATCTGCTGCTTTTGGGCAGGAGGAATACACTGAAACATCTCCTGATTCAAGATCTTCAGACCGCAGCTTTGACACGTGTGGTGTGACATTTCCTACACAGCACATGGCCATCCAGAGGGAAGCAACCATTGTCATCTGCTTCAATGGACAGGGCCTTCCCACAATCCTGAAAGGTTAACAGAGAAAGAAATGAGCAAGGTAGACTAAACACCAATGTCAAGGAGAAGCAGCGAGGGGGGGGAAAAAGGTAGAAAGTGCTCACCTCACACTTGTAACATTTCATGTGGAAATTCTTCTCCAGGGCCACCACACGAACAGTCTCATCCTTCCCAGGCTCTGGCATGATGGGCTCAGCACATACTGAACAGCGAGGAGCATATTTTCTGCAAGCACATAAGAGAAAGTGCAGGAGATTCAGAATCTCCGTTTCAGCTTTTGGTCAAATCCAAGCTTTAGGGCACAGAGGATCATCGTGGCCAGAGAGGAGAACATGAACCTCAGGGGACATACCTGTGATAATCATCAACACAATGTGGCTGGTTGGCTTTATCCACAATGAAGGATGCCCCTTCCAAGGGTTTGTGGCACACCACACAAGTGAAACATTGAGGATGGTAGGAATTACCAGTGGCCCGCAACATCCTGTCTGTGATTGTTTGCTTGCACACACAGCATTTCTCTAGGGTGCCCTGAAGAACAAAACATGGATCAGAAAGGAAGCACATCTGCTTCAGTTGAGAGCATTACTTCTTCCTCTGGTAGGACAAAGCCATCAACATTAGCCAACTTAATTCAACCAGATTAACAGTCAAGAAGAGAAACTATGACAAAAATAAACCCAACTCAATGTAACCTTAGATTGAGATTATTTTAGTAACTTTAATCTCCCATATCCCAGGACAACGCACTGGTTTTCTCATTCATCTGATTTGAAAACTCCAGAAATAATGCTTTAACCCTTGAAATTTAGTTATTCACAGTTAACTTGAGCATGCACATATCTTTGCATGTACTTCGACTACATACAAGTTACAATTCAGATTAAACATTTCCACAAAATTGGCCATTCTCTATGGTTGAGCTTCTCATGTGACCCACCCTGTGATATCTAAAACTAAGAGTTATGTGGGAACACAAAGGGGAAAAATGTCACTGTTTCTCAGATTAGTGCTCAAGTTAACTCATACAGAATATACTTTTTGGACCCAAACATTCCAACACCTTGGCTTTGGAACTTTGTGATCCATGATTCATGCAGACTGCTTTTCGAAATCTGATGTCCTTCAGTTAACTACAACTTCTAGCTATGGGTGGGATTCTCATGGTTTCGACCGGTTTGGGAAACCCCTTGTTCCACTGATCATCTGGCTCTGAATCAGTTCGCATATGGGCCTGCCCACCCGCCTAGTTTTACAGCACAGTTGATTTGCGCGGCGGAGCAGTTCGCTGCTCATCAGCTTTTTTCTTCACAGGGGCTGCAGTAGAAGGTAAGTATTAGGGCTTTTTTAAACAAGGAGCACGCGCGCACCGAACTGGTTGTTACACCAGTTGAATCACAATCCTGCTTCTAGCCAACATAGCCAAACTTTGTATTTTTATTTATCTGGAAACTGCTTCCTCTCATAATAATTAGCAACTGGCCAAGGCCTGTCAAGCTAGCATAAAAGGTTACCACATAATTTACACAGGTGGCTCTCATCAGCTGACAGTACAGTTCCTCCAACTGAGTCCATGAAAACAGGCCATGCACTGCTAAGACAATAGGCATTACGCTCCTTCTCCCCCCTCCCAAGTCGCCAGGATTGGCTGCCTTATCCTTCCCCCCCCCATTTTGCTCACCGCATAGCATTCTTCACAAAAAGGCTTTTCATCCACATTGTAGAACTGCTGCCCCTGCAACTGTCTCTCACATTTGAAACAGGTAAAACATTCAACGTGGAAGAGCTGGTCCAAGGCCCGGACAGCAGGCTGAGTCCGAGATAGTGCCTTATTGCACAAACCACAGGATTCTTCAATGGGAAGAAAGAGGGGGAAAAAGTCTGAGAAGATATTTGCGTAAGTACAGTGTTAATCTCTCTAAACTTTAGCTGCTCTTTCATGATTGCAAAAGTAGGCTTATGGATTTCCTGGAGATCCAAAAGTTAGACAATTTCCCACCTTTGTATTAAATTGCTAAAAGAAAGAAAAGGAGCAAATAGATAGTAGTTCCATTCTCTCCTAACCCCCCACTAAAATTCACACAACCCCACAGACCAGAATTAGAGGCTTCGGCATGGGGTGGATGATCCATGTCCTTCATGAGCTTCTGGGTTAACATCTCCAGCTCCTCTACCTCCTTCATGGTCAGAGCAGAGCTGTTCCTAGGTGGATCTGATCCAGTGTTTGGAAGAAATACGGGGTTGCGCTGGACAAATAAAGAAGATTAACTGAGATAGGTGCAAATCTCCAACTTTTAAGCACCTCGCATTCTGGAACATATATTCAAGATCAATTCATGCTTCCTTTAACATTGTTGATCAATGAAGACATTCCTGCGCCATTTGCCCTTTCTATTCAGTCTACATTTTTTTTTCCTTTAAGTTTTACTTTACAATTAGATGACCAGGTGTTTAAAGAAAAAATAGGGGGAGATTATTTTTATTGTATCAGTGGCATTTAATTAGTAAATTTTCAGGTGAAAATTATTAGGACTACATTTCCACTAATGCAAAACGTTCATAGCTACAATATGACTATGGAAACAATCAATCTCTTTCACCCCCTCACTACAAAAACTAGGAAATATGTACTTTAGGAAAAAGCTATATTATATACATATAAAACTAAAATAAGAAATAAATGTACATGCATATGTATATAATATGCAGTTATTCTCTGGATTTTTTTTTTTAAAAAAAGATTTATTGCCAATGGTTTTTCTGTACTACTATTAATTAATATCTATAAGGTATACCATGCATACCATGCCACTGAGACAAGAATAAATAACCCATACAGGTTTGGTTCTGTAAAAATGCACTGATGCCAAATTCTGAAATCCTACTAAGGCTCTTTTTCCAGTTCTAAAAGTTAAAGTACTTAAGCAAGTGTGATTTGAGGTTATGTATGAAACAGAGGTGGACAATCCACTATTCAAGGGTTGCCAATCTTCCCTCACTTTTTTTTTTCAGAACCCACGTACCCCATATTATACTAAAAATATTTGGCAGAAAACCATCAAGATTTGGGGGCTTTGTTCCTTAAGATATTAAGCAAAATAAATGTGTTACACCTCCAATGAACTAAATACACCTATTTTGCTTAATCAACTACCTCCAAAATGCAATTCGGGTGATATCAGCCCCATATTCCCTATGGATTTGGAGTAAGCAAAAACCACCTGCCTTTGACACAGGGAAATTAATCCGCAGGCTATCCTGTTTTGTTTTTGTGTGCCACTCATGTACATATTTGCATCCTTACCATTTCTCGTGGGGCAGATGGCTGCCCAGTAGGATATGGCTTCTCCTGGACTTGTGGTTTTTCTCGCTGTTGTGCGTAAGTGAAAGTGGGAGGCTGAGGCTTTGGAGCTGAGCCTGTGCCCGAAGGGGCTGGGAAATGAGACTGTGCAGGAAATGAAGCGGGCTGTTTTGGAGGAGCCGCAGGAGCTGGTTTAGATACAAATTTTGGACCCGTGGCAGGAAGAGATGCAGTGAACTTAGGAACTGATGGAGCTGGCGGAGGAGCAGGTGATACCGACGACGACAAGTCTTTACGCTGCTTCATGGCTACCCATGGTGGAGGAACAGGAGCAGTTTCCTCTGGTTGCTTGGCCACAGAGTTTCCAGCAGGACCGGATGCAGCCTGGATAATAGGAACTGGACTGTCTTTAGTTGGAGCTACAGTTTCTAAGGAGCTTCTAGAAGCAGAACCTACATTTGCTGGAAATATAGGCCCTGAAGACAACTGAAAGGTAATGATGAGAAAAAAAGTCAATGTAACAATCTCCATTTCCATGCCACTCAGACTATGCTCATCTAACCTGGCTTCAGCATCCAGAGGGGTGACAGCGACCCACTTTTGCCCATATATTCTCACCCAAGTCTTTTTTTTGACAAAAGTTAAGTATGGCTACTCCAGGCTGAGATTTAGTTTTAATGTCTTTTTTTTTTTCTCATCTCAAAGTCAAGTCTAGGAAACCTGATCCACAGCTTTCTTTCACCAAAACCCAAGGACTTGCACTTAATTTTTACAGTTAGTCTATTCTTAAGTTTTTGCGGGTACTTACATGTATGGCATTCAGCTTTGTTCGGGTATTTTTCCATGTCATTGTAGTTGTGCTTTTAAAGTTGTAGCAACGTTTCGGCAGAATCTCATCTGCCATCATCAGGCTTCTAGAAGCCTGATGATGGCAGATGAGATTCTGCTGAAACGTTGCTACAACTTTAAAAGCACAACTACAATGACGTGGGAAAATACCCGAATAAAGCTGAATGACATACATACATACATACATACATACATACATATATAATTTCACACAGAAAGCTAGCCTATCAAAGAAAGTATGCTAGATCATGCTCTCCTTAAAATACTTTTCTTTCTTTTTTAAAGAAATGCTTTTGGAACACTGTTTAGTCATGCTGGGCCTCTGTTCGCCGACTAGCTCAGTTTAAGCTAGGTTTGGAAAGGCCATTCTGTACTGCAGCTCACCCGGGTTTTGAAAGGGTCATTCTTTTCCATGTCATCCAGCATTGAGGACAAAGAATCAATCTCCAGATCAATGCTACTCGTCTTTCCACGGTCCTTCTCCTTCCACAATAGAAAAGAAAGTTGGTACATGTTGAGGGAGGTTACTAAATCCATAAACCACTATGTCAGTTGACACTAGCCAATACAACTACACTGCCACCAAACAAAAGGGAAAGATTGCCAAGTGGGGTCCTAATAATGAGCAATTCATTCTTAATTCGCATTACTTCCACACAGTCAAATCTCCATTTCAGACAAACACCAGAGTTTTCAAGAGGTGCTTGCAGGATGTAACCGAAACCAGATGAAATCTCTGATGTTTGGAAGATAACCACAACTGCTACTGCTTGGGGGGCAATTTTTCAGCATACAAGTTTTCCTTTTCCCCACAAGTCCCAGAAATATGTGCACGGTTGAACAAAACACAGCACCACTACTATAAATAAACTATGCAATGTTTATCTGCACAAAGTACAGATGTACCCAAAGACAGTTAAAAACTCATGCAGAACTGCAATTAACATTCCATTTAATTATTGCAAAGCATAAGGAATATTGGAGGGAGCACATGCTTTGCTCATAAACATACCTCCTTCCTTTCTCACTTTATTTTAACTAACATGTCCATTTAGATATACTTGGGACTTTCTGCTCATTTATTAAATTCTGCCCCAGCACACACCTGAGGACAAATATCTAAAGCAGGGTTGTCAAACTCATGGCCCACAGGCCAGATGCATCACACAGTGGCCACACCTGGTTTAGCGAAGGGGGGGAAAGTCCTGATACGTCATGTGACACCACCGTGATTACGCAAGTTTGACACCCCGATCCAAAGCATCGTAGGAACAAGATAACTATGGAAAAATAGTTCCCCAATGTGTCTTTTCCTGCTTTCCATTATCTTCTATCAGGACTCACCTGAGAAACAGGCAAGCCACTCAGAAACATGGGTTCTTCCTCCAGCATAGGAGGAGGAGGGGAAGGAAAGACCTCTTCTGGAGCAGGAGGAAATGGTTCCTCAAATGGAGGAGGTGGTTCCTCAAATGGAGGAGGTGGAGGAGGGAATGCATTGTTGTTTGGGATCACCACTATCTCTTCTCCTGGAGGCGGTGGTGGTGGCAGAGGAAATTCTGTAGAGAACAAGAAGCAGGGAGGATTAGCACAGCTCATCCCTAATTATATACCATAATGACTACAAAAAAGGGTTGCATTCCGCCATAGCAGTAGACACACTAGAGTGATGCAACAAAGAGAGTCAAGCAGTTCTATCAGATTTCAACTCTCATAATTATGAAACAATGATCATGTTATCCAGGAAGTTTTGATCCAGCAGATTTAGAAAGAACATAGCTGGGGAAGGCTGATCCACTTTTGGCAATTTTATATTGAACCATATCTTCATATTACCTGAGAAACATTTGACCAATATAATGTTATAAATATAGTTCAGAATTACAGAATATATGTAACGGGAAAGCAATTTACCTCTGATTTTTTTTTTAAAAAAGTAAACATACAGCTACCTAGTAATTGCAAGATGCAAAAATCCAGATTATCTCTAGGTGGGAATAAAGAAGGGGTTGTTATTGGGTTTTTTTTAATACTTTACTGCCATCGATGCCATCCAGATTTCTGCAGCCCAGATCTGATCGCATATTACACACATAGAACACATACCGTACACATACATTCCTTTGAAAAATCAGATCTTGATAATAAGCATGAACAGATGATTTTAAAAAAATTGAATGCTTGCCAAAACAGGGTATATGCTTCCAAAACATTTTTTCAAGAACGTTCATTCATATCAATGTTTTTTATTATTATGTTCTGTTACAGTTTTAGGCAACTGTGCGATATTTCCATATGCTTGAAATCCAACCATTTAAAGCATTTTAACAAAACTCTAAGTACTCATTAACTTACAACAGTTCATTTAGTGATTGTTCAAAGTTACAACCTCACTGCAAAAGGAGACTTATTGTGTGACTTATAAGTGTGATTATTTTTCACACTTACAACCTTGCAACATCCCCATCATCACCTGATCAAAATTCAGATGCTTGGCAACTGGTTCATATTTATGACTGTTGCAGTGTTCCAGGATCATGTAACCATATTTTGACAAGCAAAAGTCAACAGGGAAGCCAGATTCACTTAACAACCGTGTTGTCATGCCCTTGTTAGAGTCAGATTCTGAGGGAGAAGAGGAACAGCCGAAAGGGAGTGGAGGTGTGGCTCCGGAGGTTGTGGAGGAGGCTGGGGAAGAGCAGAGATTGGCTGGGCAGTCAGAGGAAGAACCAGGCCCATCCCCCTCTTCATCCTAGGACACACAGGGAGAAATGGAGAAGGAAACAACTTGGCTTATGAGAGAGGAAGCGGCCATGATCCCCCTTATTGGTTGCAGCTGGGAAAAATAATACATAAGAGAGACGGTTACAACACAGCATTGCCAGAAGCAAAGTATGTGTTATTTTGGGCTGAAGTTATTTTGGTTGGCATCCTTCCAACAGACTGTGCTTTGTTATCTTTTTGAAGTTGGTAATTACTTATCCTGTTCTGTTGTGGAATTTCCTTCATTGTAGTTTGTTTTGGGTTTTTTATTTCACCTCTATCTGCTCATTAAGTTTGGACTGTATTGCTTTCTTTTGAAGACTATTTTTGAGGACATTTTATCTCCAACTGAGAATTATTGAACAGTGGGGCCAAGTTGGAGGTATTAAAGAACATTTATTTGTGTTTTGGATGTTGTTACGTTTGTGTTATACTCTGGGTCATCACACATGTTACTAAGTTAACCATTGCAGCGATTCACTTAACAACTGTGGCAAGAAAGGTTGTAAAATGGGGCAAAATTCACTTCACAACTATTTCACTTAGCAACATAAAGTTTGGGTTCAATTGTGGTGGCCAGTTGAGGATGACTTGTATGGTTTAGAGTCCTCAAACCTTTCAATTGCCCTACAATCGCCTACAAACTGATGAATAAAATATTGAAAATTAACTTTACAGTGCTTTGTAAAAAAAATATTCCAGTGGTACTTTCCATCCTTTGAGCACATACATATACACATCTCAACTTCTGGAGATTCTGAGCAACATTTCAGTACTGTTATAGGAACAGCTAAGGGGGAAGAATAGGGGACGGGGGCTTGCAATAATGTATACGTGGGGAAGGGGAGGACCTTTAATAATGCCTTACATCTTTACAAAGATCTCTGATATTCAACAGTCTGAAGAAGACAATTCAGGCACTCCAGGAAGCCCCAGAAATTGGCACCACATACCATAATATCAGCAAGACAAGATCTTCTACATTCCAGTGTCATCCTGAGAGACAAATCACCTTTGCCTTTTGGAACAAATACCATACTTTCTTACAATGGATTGTACTAAATTAGAGCCACAACTCCCAGAAACAAGAGACAAAATGACCTGATCAAAAGACCACCTTCACCCTTGTAAAGAGCCTGGGACATGGACACGGACACACACACAATCACACAGAACATCTCAAGGGCTCTGCACATAGCCACCCAATTATTGTTACAGGAACCTTATTCTATAAATAGAAAGAGTCACAGAACAATACACACACTTCACCAGTTCCCAACAGTCCAATTTTACTGTAATAAAAAACCAAAACTGGGCAGAATTCTGTACATTGCAGGACTTTCAGTTCTCTAAATTTGGAAACCCCTGGTGCTAGAGAAGTCACTCCACCCTCAAACTGATGGTTTCAGTTTGCATGGTTTATTTCTTCACATGGAAGTGAGTGGTTACTATTTGTGAGAGAAGTAGAGGCAGCACCTGGGAGACCAAGCTTCTATGGCAGTGTGTCCTTGTTTCTAGACATGTAGTCCTTGACTTGTGACCACAATTGAGCCCAAAATTTCTGTTGTTAATTAAGTGAGGCAGTTGATAATTTTGCCCCATTTTTTTGACCTTTCTTGCCACAATTGTTAAGTGAATTGCTGCAGTGGTTAAATTAGTAACACGGTTGTTAAGTGAATCTCGCTTCCCTCTTGACTTTGTCAGAAAGTCGCCAAAAGGGATCACATGACCACAGGACATTGTGATTGTCAGTTGTCAAGTGTCTGAGTTTTGATCATGTGACCATGGGGATCACAGGGATACTGCAATGCTTGTGAAGTGTGGAAAAACAGTCATAAGTCACTTCTTTTCAGTGCCATAACTCTGAATGATCACTAAATGAACTGTTGTAAGTCGGGGACTACCTGTAATTCACATTTTTAGAGGAAGAAAAAAACATTTCTTACGTTTTCTGAAATGAAGGAAATTTGTCAGCTATGGAAGCCATATTGAGACCAGATGCTCCCACACTGCCACATTTTGAGCTTGGGAAAGTGGGAGGGGGGAATTTCTTGGAGTGTATCCAGTTAGACATGATAACATTCTTTTTTTTTTAATTCAAGGTCATGTTATTTTGCACATAAGTGAGGGGAAGTCTTAAGCTGGGGCGGATGGTGATTGGGGCATGTGATGTGACAATGGGTGCAGGGGATGGAATTGTAGTTTTTACTTACTGCAAGGAAGCTTGGAGCTTTCAGATTCGGGATTCCCGAATGTGCCAGTTACTATCCAAAATAAACTTTTAAGAAGATGTCTGTCTCAGAGTTATTGGTTGGAGTGGAGGTTTGCTGGAACTCTGACACAATTTGGGGAAGGACCAGGGTTCTTGCTGTCCCTTACTATGTCCCAACTTTGAAGAAAGGACACCTATCTTCCTATCACATCATACCGCTTTTATCTATTCTAGCATCCCATTCCATCAATTACTATCCACTCCTTTTCTCTGATCTTTTACCTTTCTTTCATGCTCAATGGACATATTTGATAACTGAAGGCAAAGAAGAAAGAAAAAAGATAGGGAAACGAAATCACTGCTATCCACTAAGATGCCTCAAACAATGATACCTGAGTGACTGCTTCACTTTCTCGTTCTCATTCACATGTTTAGCTAGGCAAACTGATACCACCATCACCTATGGACTTATAAGGATCACAAAGATTGATCTGCAAAGAACTTACACCACCTTGTTGCAAAGAAAATTGCAACATACACCATAAATCGGCCTTTCTAACCTGCTATTTTCTAGATATGCTGAATACCATAAACTCATATATGTTTATGATTTCACATTTTTATTAATTTGGACATATAAAGTAGTAAGGAACTGCTGCTGCTGTTTAAAAATTGTAAAATACAGACGACTTTGTCTGATCAATGCTAATCAATGCTATCTCAGAAATATGGAACTCTGCCATCCTCTAAGTACTGGCCTACAATTAGTTCTGAAATGCTGTGCTTCTATTACCTAGCAGTTGAGATGGGTTCAATTTCCACACATACCTCCCAAACCAAAGCAAGTTTCCTTGACAAATGGTGGAAAAATGATAAATGGGAATGAACAAATACAAAAGATTCCCACCATAGGCAGTCAATCTTCATTAGAAAAAAGGGAATACATACTATCTTAAGACAGTGGTGTCGCAGCCTACTTCTGCTGAGTGCCTGCTGTCAGCAGTTCAATTTTCACCGGCTCAAGGTTGACTCAGCCTTCCATCCTTCGAGGTCGGTAAAATGAGAACCCAGATTGTTGGGAGTAATATGCTGACTCTGTAAACTGCTTAGGGAGGGTTGTAAGGCACTGTGAAGTAGTATATAAGTCTAAGTGCTATTGCTAAGTGCTATATTAGCTACTAACCTCTTCTTTTTTTAATAATATTTCCTATCAAAAGAGCTGATACTTAAACAATAGCTTAAAAAGGGCTAAAGTTTAATGCTAGCAAAAATTAGAAGCTAGACAAATTCATATTCATTTATGTAAACAAAGAAGTTGCAGAGCTCTAAAGAATCAAGCCAGAAACTGGGAGACTATGAGTTCTAGTTCCAAATTATTGGGTGACCTTAGGCCAGTCCAGTGGTGGGATTCAATTTCTTTTTACTACCGGTTCTGTGGACATGGCTTGGTGGGCGTAGTAGGGGAAGGATACTGTAAAATCTCCAGTCAGAGGTGGAATTTGCCGGTTCTCCGAACTACTCAAAATTTCCGCTACTGGTTCTCCAGAACTGGCCAGAACCTGCTGAATACCACCTCTGGGCCAG